AAAGGTTCCACTTCCACCCACTGGGCTCACACTGGCTGCTGAGGCCACTCAGCTGCTAAAGCACCTCGTGCCTGGGCCTGTGCCTTAAGCAGGGGAGGTCAGTCAGTGAGAAAGTCATTCAAACCCTCCCAAGGAAAGGCAGAGTCCAAAATATCATGAACTGCACACAGGCAGCAAAGCAACTTCTGTAGCAATTAACATCATGAACTTCCCAGAGCCAGGCCTAACGTCTGCTTGTTCCTCCAGTAACAGGACTTTTTCAGTTACATTATGTGATTACTTTTGTTTTTTAAATAGTGTCTTTGTTTCCAGTGGCATTCACAAGGCTATGGGAAGTGTAAGCTGACTTATCAGAATTCTTCTGCTTGCCTTTTGAATAGGTACCGTTATCCTCTAGAAAATGGGCCACTCGGGGACATCTAATGGCATTCAGGTGATCAGCATTCGGTTGCGCAGCATCATTTGGGCAAGGAAATGCGAGATTGAAGGCTGCCTCCTGTTGGAACTCAGGGGCTACTGCAGCATTCCAGAGAAAAGGTTAAGAGGGAAACTTTAAGGTGAAACATCTTCAGTCTGTGGAGGAGTTTTGTCTGGTGAAGGTTCATGCTGCAGTTCCCCTGGGCTCCTGTTGTACAATGAGAGGTGCTGCTGTTTATTCTCTTACAGAGCTGCTTATTAATATAGCAGAAGGATAAGAAAGGCAAAAATGAACACAGTATTTATAGCCTGCCTTCGCTCGCAGGTGCCAGAGCATCTCTGCAGACGCAACAAACCATCTCCCGCAGTTCCTGCCACCCGGTGTGTGTGATTCCAACTTACAGATGGTGAAACAATCAAAAGAGGATTCCTTTGATTTTTCTGAATGAATGTACTGAGTCTGTGGCACAGGCAAAAGGAGTTTCCATATGTCCCCTCTGAAACCCAAGCACTGTTAACAATAAAGCCCAGAGCAGAAGGTGTATGGATGGATCTGAACCTTCAGCACTTCTGTGGCTTCTGCTCCTGTCACTGATCATCAGTGGGTGACTCCCAGGGAATCCTTTCACCAGTGTAACCCAGCAAGAACTGCTCATCTCATCCTTCTTTGCCTTACATGAACTTTCATGTTTGAGCAAGCGAGTGCTGGTACTTCCTCCTGTAATTTGCCTTGTTATTTGTTCAAACAAAGGAACAAGATTCACCTCCCTCCCTCCACCAAGTTCAATCCCTCTGGCCTGTGCTACCTCCCTGGATGAGCACAGCGACCAGAACAGTGATGCCACCAACCTGATCCAAGATTAAGCTCTCCCAGGCACTAAAACTGAGGAAGATGGTTAGCAATGCTTGGAACCAGGATCTCCCATAAACATCCAAGCCTTTGGATGCATACAACATATGATACAGACCCACATCATTTTCCTCTCTGTACCTTACATACTGCTTCAGGGATCTCTGGTGTTATTTGGGCCACGGTGTATAAAACACAGGAGCTTGGTGTAGGTGCTAAGGAGAACAACTAAGGAGTGTGTGTTCTGGGATACAGTATGCTCTAAAGTACAGTGTCCCATGCAGAGGAAGTGCCAGCTGCTGAGGACTAATACTGCCTTTTGCTCTCATCATTCCATTAGAGATCCAAACTCACCCGCCCTGCAATACTCTTCCTCTTGAGTACTTACAGAGTGGGTGAGAGGCTGTCAGAACACATCACTGTGGTTCAGCTTAGAGATGCACACTATCCGGTGCAACTGCACACCACAACCTTCAGAATCACTTCAGACAGGGCTGTCTGGTTACAAAGTGCACTTGACAGCCTGTTCTGAGCCCCACAGTAAGGCACTGAGAGCCAGGTGACACAGCCCATGTCCTGGCTGTTTGCTGCCCAATTTATCAGCAAGCAACCCACAGCATTCCAGCACATTACCCGGGAAGGAAGCAGCTTCAGTTCATGATCAGTACTGGTCTGTGAAAGCAGTAGAACCAGCCATCACAGCACCTTTTGCTTTAGGTTTAGGCAGTGCCAGGGGAACTGAGGAGTTGTACATGTGTGTTAACAGACACAACCAAACATATGGTGCATTTGCCTCGGTTGAACACCATGTCTTCGCTAACAAAGGAGCACTGGCAATGCAGAGGATTTGCAGCTCTGTGCTTCCTGAGCAAAAGCCCTTGTAATGGCATTCCTTCACCTGAGCCCACCTCATCTGCCCAGGGCACAGCTACAGAGCATGCTTTGAGGCCCTTTCGTAAGCCTGCCTGTACTTCCTATAAATATCCTATAACTGGGAAGAGTTACTATGGAGACTGGAAAGCTTCCCCTTAGGCAGCGATAGTGGGCTGCAGTTTTATTGCAGACAGGAAAGCAGCAGCTAGAGCACAAATTGTGGTAACACAGAGCACAAACCCTGGTCACACAGAACACAAACCATACGGCTTTCCCAAGGCTTTTGGTAACAATCCCAAAAGCACCAGAGCCACAGCTGGCAGCTTGGCTGAGGCAGCTCTGGCCTTGCAGGTCCATGTCTGTGTGGGGCCATCAATGCAGTTGGACCATACGGAGCCGAGTGCTGTGCCAGCAGGATGCAGCTGAGCTGGGTGCCTGCACCACATGGAGAGTCAACTCCTTCCTCCTACATAATTCACAGCCTGGTGTCAGGTACCCGATCCCCAACAGGCACGAGTGGATGTGTCCTGGCTGCACAGAGCCTCTGCACAGGTCACGTCTCTACTGAGCAGATGGGCAAGTTCCTGTGTGATGATGCAGTGCTGTGTTCCACAGCACAACAGTTCCATCCCCTGCTTCTCACTGGGAATCGAGTCTCTTACAGCACCACTGTGCTTCCACTCACATTCCTGACTGCTGAGACACTCATGTTTTAAATTGAGCACTACTGGCATATCTCACAGATGTGCTATGGACAAAGGCACCAAATGCTCTCCCTAGTAAAGCAGAGCTACAGAACAGCAGCTCAAAAGCACAGTCGATAGTGACAATACTAAATAGAACAGGAAAAGCCCCAGACCCCAAAGCGTTAATGTCCTCTTCATGTTCTGTTTCAGACTAAGATCCAAGCCCAGCTCTACGCCTCCACACATGTGCCTTTACAGGAGTCATTCAGTGCCACGTTTACACATCAGTCTCTTTCCCAGCTGCCAATCTCCCGGCCTTCCACAGCCTGACTCCACCGCCTGCCTGGATCCAGTGATCTCCCAGCGCTCCTGCGCCCACCTCTGCTTCCAGCAAGGATGACATTAACTGCCTCACAGTTGTTACTCTGGGATGTATCTCCTACACTTGCAGTGCCCTCCTGAAACACTGTATTGGAAATAACCTTTATTGATCCCCAAGGGGAAAACACAACCCTCTGCCTCGACACTGAAGGGAAAACAATTTCCCCGAGAAAGGGGCAAATATATTAGTTGCAGCAAAGATGAAGCGATGTACCAAGGGCACACAGAGACATACATCAGCACCTTGCACTGAGGCCTGCCACGGCAGAGCGTTTCAAGACCCTTATCATACAACCACTACAGCTCGATTACACGCACCCCCAGGCTGCAGGGCCGGTCACCCCCACCGCGGGCAGTGACCCCCTTGGTGCTTCATGGCCAAAACTCGTTCTTACGAGGCAATCGGTTTGTGCCGCCAGCAGAGCAGGCAGTGCCCAGACCCCTCTGCGCCGCGGGCCCCGAATGTCCCGTCCCGTCCCCTCCCCAACCCCGCGGCCCCGCAGCACTGAACCGTCAATCACAAACGTGGCTCCGGGCGGACACCGGCAGCAGCCCCGGCCCGCGCACCCCGCGACGCGGCCCCCACTCACTGTTGTACTGGACGCCCTTGGCGAAGCGCCGCTGCAGCGCCTGGTTCATGGACTGCAACCCCGCGGGGATGTTCTTGTCCCGGACCGGAGTCTGCTCCGACCCCACCAGCTTCTTCAGGGCCGAGAACATCTTTGCGGTCCCGCTCCCGCAGCGCCGCGGGGAAGGGGCTGCTCCAGGAAGGGCACGGCTCGGGGCACTCAGGACAGCGGCAAGGCTGCGCCTGCCATGAGGGGCGGCCCGGGCTCGGCACGGCCCGGAGCGAGGGGAGGGTGCTCTGAACCGGGGCCCCGCCGTGTGCTGGGAGCGGGCGCTACCCGGGCATGGCCCGGCGAGGGGCGCAGGGCGGTGGGGCCAGGAAAGCGGTGGGGCAATAGGGTCGGGGCTTGGCTCAGCCCCGCCGGGCGCCGCGGCTCGGAGCCGGCCGCGGGGCTCCCGCCGCCATCTTGCCTCTTCCGCCTCTCCGCCGGGGAAGAGGGCGCGCGGCGCGCGCTACGGCGGCCGGCAGGGGCCAGCAGGGGTCAGCAGAGCGCTGAGCGCGTGTCAGGGGCACGGACCTGCCCGAAGCCAGCCCGGACCTTCCGGGACCCCCGGGAACCCCCCTGTGCCCCATAGCCCGGAACCCCTCCTGTGCCCCATAGCCCGGAACCCCACACCACTTCTAACCCGCTTCTGGGACCCCTATAGCCCATTGAGACCCCCATAACCCCCGTAACCCCCTCCTGGGACACTCCCATTTCCCCCTCATGACCTTAATGACCCCGTAACTTCCTCCTGTAACCCCTCAGGGTACCCTCGGACACCCCGTAACCCCTTTATGAGATTCCCATGTAACAGTCCCCATGATCATCACCCATCCCCATGGACCCCAGCCAGCATCTCGGTCCCCAGTCCCACAGTGACCCTGCAGCAGTTATTCCTTTCAGGGAGGAACAGGCACTGTTCCCTCCTTGCTGGGCCCTTCCCGGCTGCCCTTCACCATCCCCTGGGACATGGGGGGCTGAACCCCATCAGCGAGACGCTCTGAGTCCCTCTGTTCACTCATTGTCCCCCGAGCACCTCAGTGGCATGAAGAAGGGGCAGAGATTCAGTAGGGAGCACCCAGGACCCCCCCACAAAGCAGAGGACACCCCACCCACAGCATCCCACATCCCTCCTGGACCCCCACCCTCCTCCCCACCAGCTTCAGGACAGACACTGGGGTCATTGGTCACATTAGAGACATTTACTGCTGAAGGTGTCTCCTGTGGGGCCTGGTGCTGGGTACCAGGACCTTGTTTTCCACCCATGTCAGTTTGACAGATGCAGAAACTCCTCATCCTCTGCAAATTGAGAGATGTGAAGAGTGATGGACAGACCCACAGACCCCTCCTCACCCCATGGACAGTCAGCAATGGAAGCTGCTGCCCACTTGGCCAAGACCCTCTGTACACCCCTGTGCTGTGCTGTGATGTCACTTTGTGTCCCATCACCTGCTGTGGTGGCATTAATGGGTCTGCCCTAAGACATGTTACTGTGGCCGCATCTTCCATCTGTGGGTAGCTGTACACCCGCATTCCTGCTCTGATGGGGACAGGCTGTGGCTACAAAGCCACAGAATGGTTAGGGTTGGAAGGGACCTTAACATCATCCAGTTCATCCAGTGGCTGAAGACCCCTGAGCTCGCTCTTCCCTGCCCAGCTGCTGAGAACCTGCTTGCCCGCTCACCCAAGGGGTGAGCAGTGCCAATGGTGTGTCCCAGGGAGGTTCAACACAGACCCCCCTGTACTGACGCGAGCTGGAGGCTCACACAAGGGTGCACCAAGCAGGGACCCAGGTTTGGCCCTTGTTTGGTGCCAGGGTCCCTGCACCACCCCAAATCTTTCAGCCACTCTTCCCCCACTGGCATCCCCTGCCTGCACACTGTTTGTTTCCTCTGCTGCTCCCCACTGCAAACCACCTTCATCCAGACCACCCTGAGGTTCAGCTGTGGCTCGGGATGTCTGCAGGGCACACAGCCCCTCTGTGATACTGGCTGTACGTTCCTTAAAGTGTTCAAGGCCAGGCTGGACACAGGATGCTTGGAGCACCCTGCTCTAGTGAAAGGTGTCCCTGCCTGTGGCAGGGGGTTGGGACTGGATGAGCTTTCAGGTCTCTTCAACACAAACCAGTCTGGGATTCTGGAAGGACCATATTGCTCAGTCCATCAGAGTCCCTGACCCAGGACAGACCCACCCCAGGCACAGCACAAAGCTGTCACAGACCCATCACAGACAGACCCATGCAGACCCACGACAGATCCATCCCAAGACCTGTTCCAGATCCAGGACAGCCCTGTTCCCACCCCAGGCAGACTCAGCACACCCAGAGCAGGCAAGGAGCTGCGGGCTGCTCCCCCAGCACAGCGCAGTGCAGGGCAGTGCAGGCAGGATGCAGGGTGCAGGCAGGATGCAGGGTGCGGGCAGGGTGAAGGCAGGGGGCAGTACCTGCCAGCGGAGGGGCCCCGCAGTACTCTTTGCACTCCTTCTCCGAGTAGAACTGGTTCCCGTTGCCTTTGCAGCCGCCGTAGCTGAAGGTGATGCACTTGCCCTGGGCCGCGTCAAATGCCCAGCGAGTCACTGGGTTCTGGCAGGGCCCGGGGACGACGGGCAGCCGGCAGGCAGCTGCGGGACAGGGGGGTCCGGGGCTTAGGGCCCACACCTGAGCACTCACATCCCTCCCGTAGCCCGGCGCCGCGGGACGGGCGCTGCCCGCACCGGGACGGGCGCTGCGGGCTCACCCTCGCTCCGGCACGCCTGCAGGCACTCCTTCTCCGAGTAGAAGTTGTTGCCGTTGCCCAGGCAGCCTCCGTACAGGAAGATCTCGCAGGCCATGGAGGAGGAGTTGTAGAAGAAGCGGGAGAGCATCCCGCTGCAGGGCCCGGGGTCCCGGCTCAGCCGGCACGAGTCTGCGGGAGGCACGGCACGGGCTGGCACCGGAACACCGGGGTGTGGGACACGAATTCCCCACGGAGCCGCCTCCCTCAGCACGTACCTTCCTTATTGCCCATGTAAGGGGGCAGGGGGCCCGCGGCCGAGCCCTCCTCAGGGGGCAGGACTGCTCTCCGTGCTCGCTGCATGGGGAGGAAGCACAGAGCTGCTGTCAGCCCCTGCCCGTGGGATCCGCTGCCCACCCCACTGGCCCTGCACCCCCGGGATGGGCCATGCCAGGGCAGAACTGCGGGGTGCTGCTGGCTCCCAGCACAGCTCCAGTCACTGATGTTGGGGCACCTCATGGCTTTTCCAGCCCTGTGCTCATCCACAGTGCGGGCTAGGGTTGTGTGTTGTGGGTAAAGACACCAAAGTGCCCAAGTAATTCCCTTGTGCTGGGGACATGTCTCTGCTCTCGCTGATGCAGCGTGGTGTGTTACCTGCTTTCCAGTCAAATGGGTTGCTTCTCCTACGGAAGACTCATCTATGATCCCCCAGAATCACAGAATGGTTTGGGCTGGAAGGGACCTCAAAGCTCCTCCAGCTCCAACCCCTGCCACGGGCAGGGACCCCTTCCACTGGAGCAGCTTGCTCCAAGCCCCTGTGTCCAACCTGGCATTGAACACTGCCAGGGATGGGGCAGCCACAGCTTCTCTGGGCACCCTGTGCCAGCGCCTCAGCACCCTCACAGGGAAGAGCTTCTGCCTAAGAGCTCAGCTTAGTCTCCCCTAATCTTTCTAAACTCAACCCTGTGATACTGGGGGTGCTGAGTGATGGCAGCTGAAGGACCTGGTGGAGCATGATGTGCCTCCCAGCCCTTCACAGGGGTTCTGCAGCTTAGCTGGGACACCCACAGGCAAGCAAAGAGCAGGAAGACATGAGGCTCTGCATGCAGCATCTTTCACCCTGTGAGAAATACCAGAGTAGGAAAGAGCTGTTGCATTCTGCTTGAGAATGAGCCCCGGTGCCATCCTGGCCCCACGACCCCCAGCCTGCTGCCTGTGCACCATCCTCACAGTCAAAGCCCATCAGTGGGGGTGAAAGAGCATGTCCTGGGTGGGCAGTGGAGCAGCTGCTCCAGTCATATGTCCTGTCCACAGAGCCTGGTCCCCAGGCACCAGCTCTCGGGGGGGCTTGCTCAGAAGGGATATCCAAGCCGTGATCCATGTCAGGGGGTCCCACTGCAGCACTCACCTGTGGGGCGGTCGTGGTCTCCTGAGGAATGCATTCGCCTGGCCCCGGTGACAGAGAAAACGAGGAGCATGAGAGGGAGGGCCTGACAACCTCACCTCACCGGGGTCCTGCGCTGTGCACACACAGGGGCCCTCCCATTTCCACCCCAGTGTTCTCACCCTCTTGCTGCTCCACATCTCCCACTGACAGGAGCATTCCCCTAAAACCCCCACACCCGCCTGCATCACACTGGCACCTTCAGATAACCAGGCTGAGCAGGGAAGTCCCCTGGTCCTGGAAGCACCCACCCGTGCGCAGCAGTGCTGAGTGTCCCTGGGTGTCCTGTGCCCTCATCCCAGCACAGCCTTGGAGGTGCATTGAACTGACAGCCCAGCAAGGATCCCACTGCCTGGAAAGCCTGACTGATATATGGTCTTATCTCCTTCCCACCCCATCCTACAAAAGCTCTCATCTCTCCTCCCTCCACCCTGACCATCCCCTCATCTCCCCAGCCTCGCATATCAAGGAGCAGGCCCAGTGCACCAGTACCCTGGGTGAGAGGCAGCAGGAGCATATGCCTTATGGTGGGTTACCTCTGTTGGCCAGGACGAAGATGGAATCTGCAGGGATGCCCATCTCCAGAGCCAGCTGCTGGAAAGCCTCAATGAGGTCCTCCCGCAGCTCTGGACTCCTCCCTGGGCAAGGGAACAGGCTGTGAGCAGGCTTGGCATGCAAGGGGCTCTGTAGGGACCCCCCCCCATCCCTCCACCAATCTGCAGCCCAGCCTCCTGGCCCTTCCCAACCTCTCTGTTATTCTTAACCATGGTCTGGGTTTCTTCCAAGCAGCTGTTGCCACCTTCACCCTGAACAACAGGCTGGTTTGGATGTTCATTCTGTTACATGGCTCTAAGCTGAGACGTAAGACTCCACCTCTGCAGTGCCAAGGATGATCTGGTCCAAGGCACCACTTCCAAAGCCATATGGTCAGGTTCCCCCAGGGTCAAGGGACCTGAGGAGCCCTTGGGGGTTGTTTCTGAGCTGCACTGGTGCGCCCCAGAGCCTGCTTGACCACAAGTGCCGTAACCAGACGTACCGTACAGCTTCAGGGTTGTGCTTGGGCCAAAACTGCTTTCTTTCTTCATCAGAATGACAGCGTACTCTTCGTAGTTGGTGCGGAGCACGTAGGACTGGATAGACACATCCCATTCTGCAGGAGACAGAGACACAGGGGACATCGTTCCTGCCCCTTAGGGAGAAAGAGGGCAGTGTAAGACAGCCCCAGAACTGGGGGCTGAAACCAGGCAGCTAATTCCAGAAAACAGCTGATTGTGGGGACACAGCCTCTGATACACCCTGACTCCATCCAGGCTCATCGGCCTCTTAGTCAAGGGCATTGGAAACCAAGGGTTGAGGACAACCGAGACACCATCAGTACTCCAGAAATGTGGCTGGTGACAGCCTGCCCTGGCTCAGGGCCTTGGGGCCAGGAGGGATCTGCTGGAACATCTCCTAGTCCCATGCCTATGCAGGGACAGTGCTGGAAAAGCCTCTTTCCCTCTCCTGCATGCCATAATTTGGCTGGAAATGGCCCAAACTGTGGGGTGGCTCCTGAGCCCCATCCTGCACCCCTTCCCCTGCTGATGCTGGCTCCCATCATCAGCCCCACCGCAGGGCGGCAGCGAGTTACCCCAGTTACTTACTGGGGTTGTAGTAGGTGTATTTGCCAGGGGTGCTGGTTTTCTGGTACTCTCCTGAGACGAGTGTGCAGCCACCCTGCCTGCAGGGAGCAGGAACACAGTCAGCTGCTCGGAGTGACCATCTCTGCTGGTTATTGTGGGGAAATCATGGCTGGGACACTGTGGCCATGGCACAGAATCACAGAATCAAGCAGGTTGGAAAAGATCTTTAAGATCAAGTCCAACCATTCCCCCAGCACTGCCAAGGCCAGCACTAGACCCCCGAAATTCCCCTACCCAAGGCATTGGGTATTTGAGCCTGATCCAGCCCCTCTGAGGGCTCTGGTGCCAGCCAGAGCAAGAAAACCCTGTGTCCTGTCCCAGCCCTGGGAGACGCAGCACCCCTGCGTGGGGATGCTCGAGCACTGCCCCTACCGCAGCCTGGTGCTGGCAGTGCTGATCTGGTCAGTGCTGGAGCCAGGGCCCAGCACCAGTGTGCCCATGCTGAACTTCTCCTTGTAGTTCTTCATCCACTTGCAGGTCGTGCCGACAGCGACATCGTACCACTTCCCGTACATCTGCAGGGACAAGAATGGGACATCTCCATCGGGAGCCCTCTCCTCCAAGGTGGAACGCTTGGTTGTCTGCAGAGCTGAAACATTTATGGCCCAGAGGATAACAGAGGCATGATGGTACAGTGCTGCCACAGGAGATGGGAAGTGGATCAGCACCAGCCCCTCAGGCTGGCCAGGTCACTGACATCCCATGGGATTCACATGGCCTGGCTGCTTGGGCTCCGGCTGCCCTGCCTGGGTATCTGCTGGGGTGAGCACATCCCAAAGGACACCCTCTGCCCGGCCACGCTGCCAATGCCCGTCCCGCACAGCCTAACATGGGCATGGGGAATATCGCTCTTCTTGCTGGAGGAAACCAAAATAGAACTTTCCCCCACCCCTTCTGCCCCCAGAATAAAGGCACCACAAGCTGCCATTACCCGCTCAGCCTCAAAATTCTCCTGTACTTGAATATCCTTATCCTGGTCCCCGATGGGGGTCCCGTTGGCCACAGCAATGAGGAGAAGGGAAAGGAGACCCCAAAGCATTGTGTCCGGTGGCTTCGAAGTGCCGCTGAGCCTCGGCCTGTCGGTGGGGTCCTGGACTCTGTGCTCTGCACAGCAGTGTGACCTTCAGACTGCGGGCACTGGGGCCGGCCAGGCTGGCTGGGGGGCCAGGAGGGCAAGGTGCAGCTCTGCAGGGCCCGGCCGTGTGTCCTGGGGCGGTGGGATGTGCAGAGCTGGTGTGGGGTGCAGGAGGGATGGTGAGCATCCTTCCACTGTGCCAGGCTGAGCTCCTCACCCTCACCTCCTCCTACACCACAGCATAGCCCAGACATGGGGCCAGGACCTGGCTGTCTCCTCTGTTCTTCCCCAGTGTCCTGCAAAGAGCCTGGATAGTGGCTCCAGCCCTGGCAAACCAGCCTGACCCTGCAGAGAGGAGAGGACCAAGGGGTCCCCAGAATTCACCCCAGGCTGCCTAATACTGACCAGTGTTCACAGGGAGCAGAGCTCCCTTCTGCACCCCCTGTCCCAGGGGTCCATAGCTGGCAGCCAGTGCCCGTGAGCAGGGTGGGTGTCACCCATCCCAGAGCCAAGTGTTCCGAGCCTGGCCAGTGCAGGAGATATGGGGCACGCTGCCCCTTCCTGACGCTGTTTGCCTTCACTGGATGATTAACTGAAACCAAACAGCCTGAAGGAGATGGCAAACAGACCAAAGGGCAGGAGCTGTGCTCAGGGTCAGGCCCCAGCCCAACATTGACAGAGAAGGGCCAGAGCCCGCGGCATGCCTAGGGGAAACAGCCAGACCTCCACCTCCTCTCCTCTGCTGGCCACCACAAGCCCCTTGGACCAATGGCTGAGCTGCTGGGGGCAGTGGTCCAGGGGGGGCAGCCTGAGCATCTTCTCACACATGTCTTTGTGCCACATCTGGGGTGTCCTCGGGAGCATGGAGGAAATCTGGACGTTAAGTAGAGACATAGAATCACAGGGTGGTTTGGGCTGGGACCTTAAAGCTCCTCCAGCTCCAACCCCTGCCACAGGCAGGGACCCCTTCCACTGGAGCAGCTTGCTCCAAGCCCCTGTGTCCAACCTGGCCTTGAACACTGCCAGGGATGGGGCAGCCACAGCTTCTCTGAGCAATGACCCTTTAATTAACCCACCTCATTAACCCGTCCGTCGCTCCCTTCAGGAGCCACCTTCGCGAAGCCGCCCTGGGGCCCCTCCCGTGCAGGGTCCCGCTGCCCCCGGCCCGGCAGCGCTAGGGGGCAGCCGGCGGTAAGGAATGACCTCGCGGGCTGCGGGCGGGCGGCGGGACCCTGCGGTGCCGCGGGGGGGAATCGTCCTCCAGCGGCAGGGCCGGGGCAGCGATGGGCAGCGGGAATGGGCAGCGATGGACAGCGGGAATGGGCAGTGATGGGCAGTGATGGGCAGCGATGGGCAGCGGGGACGGGCAGTGATGGGCAGCAATGGGCAGCGATGGGCAGCGGGAATTGGCAGCGATGGGCAGCGATGGGCAGCAATGGGCAGCGATGGGCAACGATGGGCAGCGAGAACGGCAGCAATGGACAGTGGGAATGGGCAGTGATGGGCAGCAATGAGCAGCGGGAATGGGCAGTGATGGGCAGCAATGGGCAGCGGGAACAGGCAGCAATGGGCAGCAATGGGCAGTGATGGGCAGCGATGGGCAGTGATGGGCAGCGATGGGCAGCGATGGGCAGCGATGGGCAGCGATGGGCAGTGATGGGCAGTGATGGACAGGCGTGAACAGTACAGGGTATTCTACTGAACACCCTCTTTATGGCCCTACTTTACCGGGAGCATGTGTGTCCTGTGCTGGGACCCGGCAGGGGCAGGAGAAGGATCGTGACCCGGCCATCAGTGTCCTTCTGCGGCTGCTGCTTGGCACCTCTCCTCCTGCTGTTGGTGCTAAGAGAGAGCAGAAGGAGCTGCTCTCTTCCAAAGGGCACAGCTGGGAAAGCTGCAGGCCTGGGGCACATCCAGCCCGGTGCTGTGCTCTTCTGAACACATGAACACAGCATGTGGCTGTGCCCACGAACACCATCCCAGACTGGTTTGGGTTGGAAGGGACCTTAAAGCTCCTCCAGCTCCAACCCCTGTCACGGGCAGGGACCCCTTCCACTGGAGCAGCTTGCTCCAAGCCCATGTGTCCAACCTGGCCTTGAACACTGCCAGGGATGGGGCAGCCACAGCTTCTCTGGGCACCCTGTGCCAGCGCCTCAGCACCCTCACAGGGAAGAGCTTCTGCCTAAGAGCTCAGCTCAGTCTCCCCTCAGGCAGGTTCAAGCCATTCCCCTTGGCCTGTCCCTACAGGCCCTTGTCCCAAGCCCCTCTCCAGGTTTCTTGTAGCCTGTAGAAAGTTGCTATAAGGTCTCAGCAGAGGGTTCTCTTTTCCATCCTCGCTGGGAAAGCTGGGGAGCAGCTGCACTGGTTCCAGAAGTCAGCCTGTGCCCGTTGCCTGTGCTAGGAAAGCCAAGGCAGTGGTACACCCCCTGATCTCCTTGCTCTCTTCCAAAAACACACCCTCCATCCCCACCCCCGAGGCTGTGGCTGTTCCTGCCAGGATCACTGAAGGGCTGCTTTCACAGGAACAGGGATGGAGGAACCCCCCACGCTGGCATAGCACACGGCTGCAATGGAGCCTCTGCGGGGCTCCCCAGGGAGGAAGGCTGCTGGGACCCCAGGATCTGTGCCTGGGGCTCTGGGGTCCCATGTGTGGGGAGCAGCAGCCGGGACAGATGGCTCCTGGTGCTTCAGGAGGGACGTTCCTGTGGATGGCTCTGGCAGGGGATGGGCAGCAGTGATCCCTTGGGAGTCGGTGTCCAGCAATGGGAAAAGGAGATGCTCTTCACCTCTGTGGGCCTGACTCTCCTCTCCCCCTCCCCACCAGCTGTATTATGGGTTAGGGAAGACATTCCTGCTTCATCCTTTCAGTGCTCCTTCATGAACCTGTTGTCCGCAAGCTTGTCTGGTCCCTTTCTGAACCTGCCATTGTCACCAAACTCCTCTTGCCCCATGGCAGCAAGGTTCATATGTTCAAACCCTGTCATGGAAAGAAGTTTTCTCTTTTGTCTCCTTACTCCCAGGAGTGCTGGAGTACCACAGCTTTATGGTCATCTTGTCCACCACCTTCATGACTTTGCAAGCCTCAGTCATATCATATCTCAAACAGGGAAGTTTCAGCCTTTCCAGTCCCTCTCACATGGCAGGAGCTTCATCTCCTGGGTTATTACAGAACAGCTCCAGAAAAAGTCAACTCCTCCATCTCTGTCTTGAGCCGTGAATAAAAGCACTCAAGCACACAGCACCCGAGATGGGGGCTCACCAGGGGTTGCTGGTTCTGTAGAACACTTTCATTCCCACCACCCTTCCTGGTCACACAATAGTTTGATTCCTCTTTTGGCCGCTGCTGCCCATGATCACTTCTCTGCCATCAACCAAGTCAGGGATGGCTCCACCTCTCTGGAGTCCAACCACTTGTCCTAAGCTCCAGCTGATGTCCTGCACTGCCTGCTGCTCCCTCGAAGCATCACCTTCATTTTCTGCACCAAAGCTCATTCTCTGCCTCTTTGCCCTTGGTTTTGTGAGGTCCTTCTGACAATCCTTACCATTAACAGGCCTTTGGCCATGCAGAAGAGCTCAGTGTTACCTGTGAACTCGAACATCCCTGTTCACTTCTTTCTCTGGGGATGGATGAAAATGTCAAATGGAAAACTGGTCTCAGGGCTGGTCCCTGGGGGACCCCAGTGCTGACTGACTGCAGTCCTGAACAGCTTCTTATCCTTCAACCACCTTCAGGTTCATGGAAAAGCCTTTCTTCTGCTGCCACAGCAAGTCTTTAATACCCTTTGGCATGGTGCCTCACCAGAGGCTTTCTCACAGTCCAGACAGATGATGTCCTCTGGATCCTCCCTTTGTGAAACAAGGTCCTTCCTTCAGAAGCCTGACAGCTTCTCCCCAGTGCTGCATGCTGTGCCACGGGCAGGGACACCTTCCACTGGAGCAGCTTGCTCCAAGCCCCTGTGTCCAACCTGGCCTTGAGCACTGCCAGGGATGGGGCAGCCACAGCTTCTCTGGGCACCCTGTGCCAGCGCCTCAGCACCCCCACAGGGAAGAGCTTCTTCTTTCTATCTTACCTAAACCCCCTGTTTCAGTTTGAAACCATTTCCCCCCGTCCCACCATTGCAGTCCCTGATGTCCTTTTCCAAGCACACTGAACACCCAGGGACTGGGTTGTCTCCCAGATGCCTTTCTGTCCCCAGCTGTGGTCACGCTCCCACCTGAGCCTGCCCAGGCTGTGGCAGGGGGAGGTCTCTGTTAGTGTTTGACCAGAGTTATGGTTTTAAATAGCTGCAGTTATGGCTTGGAACCAAGAGCTGCCAGGAAGGGAGCTGAGACTGCAAGCACATGGGCTGGGTTCCCAAAGGAGCACCATGGGATGCCTGTGCTCTGCAATGGGTTTCTGTGCTCCACAAACCTGCCTCTCCTCCTCCCCCTTCTTCACCTCTTCTTCCTCCTCTCTGCTCTTCCCTTGGGGGCTCTGATCCCACCCTGAGGTCCTTGAGTTCCCTCATCCCAGCTGTGGCAAGGGAAGTCTCTGGGCCTGTATTGAGGGTGAGCACCCACAGCACTTGTGGGACTGTCAGGAGATCTGCTGGAGGCTTTGGCCATGCTTGGGCATCTCCCCTGCTTCAGAGCCTGGCAGTACCCCAGGTACTGCCTGCATCTCCTCCTGGAGCATTTGCCGGCCCCATGCAGGATGTGCACCTGGGAGGTGTCAGCACCCCTAGGTCAGGATGTCCACGAGTCCCTGTGCGGGTGCGTGTACTCTGAGCTGCCGCAAGCCCCAGCCCGGGCACCTCCTGCCCACCCACCCGCACGTGTGTCTGCACCGGTCCCTGCTCGGGGTGGCCACCGGCCCTTGGGCTGCCCCCTCCGCCCCAGAGCACGGTGACCCCCCCGTGCTTGCCTGGGGGACGATGTTCCCACCGTGCTCGGCCGAGCTCCTGCACCGCCCGGCTCGCAGCCTCCATCCGCATGTGCGGCCGCCCGTGGTGTCCCTGCTCCCTGCGGGTCGGCCTCAGCACATCGCTGCCGCAGAAGCCCCACCGCATTCCCCGCCCCACCGC